ATCCGCGGACGATTTTTTTGCTAGAGAGGGATTCCGTCTCCGCGGTAGCATTTTTCGCATTTAGTTATTCGATGGGGAAAAAACGTGAAGTATCGAGGTCGGAGTTGACATCAGTCGAGGAGTGAAACCGAGCGCGTTATTTTGCGTAAGTTCGGACTGATTGCGACGTTTATTTTTTATTCGTTTTTTTATTTTATCATTACAATTTTACAATTCATTCTTAATATCATATATTATATATATATAGTTATGTATATATATATGATAATTAATTAAGCTCTGTGATCACCGTATATTTGCTTACCGTGCAGGTCCTCGGTCCCGGCGTGCCTCGTCGGTCAGATGGTCATCCGTGCGCTGGACATCTAACGATCGCCGTGCCGCCCGGCGCTGCCGCCCGCCCGCGTCAACGATCGGTATCTGTACGCCACGCGAGCGCGCTCAAGAGAAAAACACATCCTACTGCCTCAGCCAGAACGCATCAACATCTGCGGATATCAATGCGTCTGCTTGACAGAGGTGGGTTGGCATTTGAGTCGGTGAGCGCTCACGAGGTTGTGTCACGCACCGTGAATTAGCGGCTCTGCCATTTGCAACGCGTATCGCGCGGTTGGTTAGGCCACCCCGTTATTACTCGGCTCGCAGAAAATAGTTGGGTGCAGTCTTACGCGTGTTGATGAATTTATCATGACATTGATTGTTTTCAGACTGCCGAACACTGCGAAGATGGACTTGGACATGATGCAGGGAGAATTGCGCCAGTTGAAAATAGCAGACGTTAGCAAACAGTCCAGAAGATATAGAATTGTTTTGCCTCAAGTGTTAAAATTAGTAGCAATATGAGCTAAAATAGGCATAACTACAATAAGTAAATACGGGCAATAAGGGCAAAATGGGATGCTTATGGTTTAACCATGGATCGTATGGTAGGTAGCAATATGTGCACTTGTGTGTATTGTTAATTTGCAAAAGTTTAGAACATTACAGCCACCAGGGTGGCCCCTGTGTGCTTGGATCATGACGTGTCATTGTGGTACCATGGGGCTGGTGTGACCCACCAGATGGCAACCAGTGTTGATCCCCACCAGGGTGCGCACATGTGTGGACCTGTGTGTGTGTGAAATAATGTGTGTGCTGTGTAGCTCGCAAATAAGTGGCCCTTGTACTTGCCGATGCTGACATGCCAGGTCGCTCCTGTGGACCTGTGTGACCCATTTAAGGATGCGCCCCTGTGGTGCTTCTTGTGCCATACAGGTGGCGCCCACGATGTCCCCGTCACCCTCCAATGGGTGGCGCCTGTTTGCCCCGCGATCACCCTCCTGTGTTCTGCTGCAGGTTTCAAGTGCAGGTACAGGACGCCGAGCACACTGCCGCCACAACGACACCTGGCAGTGCCCTGCTATGGCCCGCTGCACACTCCCTCACGTGTGCATCGACGCGACATCCGTCAGAGCGACCCCCTCGACTGAAAGATGTTCGAGTCGGACCGGCTGGGTGAAGTCGCGCCAGGCCAGACGCAGATGGGTGTGGGCCGTGGTCGCGGGCGTGGTCGGGGGCGTGGTCGGGAACGTGAATGGGAATAGAAATGGCGTGCATCGAATTGCTTTTTCGTTGCTGCATTATTGTTGTTTTTTCGGTCGTTTTTTTTTTTGACTATTTTTACCAGCTTGGCGAGTCATCACACCGATTATTGTTGTTGTTGTTGTTGTTATTTGTTGTTTCATGCATATTCATTACTGTTGATTGTATGTTAAGTTTTGGTGTATCGTTTCCGTTATACCATGCACACACCAGGTCCCGGTATTGCCCGGCGTTTATTTCGCGATAACTTTTGATTCTCAACGCATTGATCTCGGTTGCCGACAGGAGCTGCTAGGCAGGCCAGGAATCGATTGCCACTGTGAAATTCGATCAAGGATTGATTGGCGGACCGTTGATTGCGGCCAGGAACCTGACATACGTACGTCGTCGGCGTCGTTGGACACACAGTGAGTGCGGGTGGCGGACAGTCGAGTATCCCATGGGGTGGATCCATGGGAACGGTTAGGAGAGTGGAGGGAAGGAAGAGGACACATCTATGCAGCCATTACCAGCTGTAGTGGAAGCGGACAACGATTTAAAACACGTATAGAAGAGTATACAATAAAACATTCACCACATTCTACAAAATTCTACAAGATTAAATAATTAATAATTATTAATAAAATTAAAATTCGAAAAAATTTAATCTAAATATGAAATTAATAATAATAGATTAACAAATTCTTACGAAAATTCAGCATCTGGCCCCCTCCCCCCCCCGGTAATTAGTGGCATCGTAACTGTTATGCAACAGAACGGCGGCAGCCGTGTTCGATAACAGTCTCGTTAGTGCCAGTCATGTGGTTGCAGACGCGTTTTTGAGGTCGGCATAGTGAGAACAGTGTCACTTTCTCGTCGACGGTCTGCAGACGCATTGACGTGTGATTCACGCGCAGCTGGGGGCCGCCAACTTCCAGCTCTACGTTAAGGGATTCGCCCGAGATGATACATCTCCCCTGTCGAAACCTGAGGACCGGTGAGGACGCACGAACACACACACACGCACCATTGAACACGCATGCCGCATGCACGCAGGCACTCGCGCACACACACGCTATGCACATATGTTGCTCCATTTACTTCATTTGTTAGGCAACTGCGCACCATGCACCGTGCGCCGCACGCACGCTACGCCACACTTCATTTGATGTAGGCATTTAGTGCACGCCATTGCATGCTAGCGCATTTCTAGGCCCTGTGCACACACACACGCACACACGCGCACATGCACAGCACATTTCAAGGCACGCATGCATGCACGCGCAATTATACACGTGCCATGCTTACATGCGGTACACATGAGTTCTACCACGGTCGATGCGTGAGTGCCACCAGCAATGCATGACATGCTCACAGCAACAAAGTGCATATCATTTCAACGTGTTTTATAATATTCACACGCTGTTCCCCATCACTACGACTAGTAATGCTGTAATGTCTTGTACCCCCCCCCATCAGGACTTATGAATGTATTTCGTTGGGGAGGTTGAACGTCTTCAGTGCTTCGCCACTCGGACGGCCGACAGTGGAATCGAGTGCGGCGAAATGCCGAACACTTGCTTGACGCTTACCTGTGCTTGTCACTCACGCAGTACTGGAGACTTCAGCACGCACCTGCACGCGTACACGCCGGCAGGGCTACCGTGTCAATAGGCGGTCGCCTGCAATGCCCCTGCCCCACCTACTGGTGTGAAGGCCTCAGCGTATCACTTAGGTAGCATCTCTTCCGTTTTGAACCAGCAGTTAAGTTTACTGACTCGCCTTGCCGCGATATCGTGGCCAGGGATTTTAACGTCGTCTCTGCTCGTGGCTCCGTCGTGCCTGGTCGTCGGGTGCGACAGAGGTGTGAATGACATGTCACCATCAAGAGACAGGCCATTGGTGAATACGCGGACACGTATTGCCATGGCTAGGACACTATGAACTGAAATATACGGACAAACACGCGAAATGTACGAGACGTATGTACGTCGTGTTAAACACGGACTCGCCGAGATTAGACGTTCTTAATTTGCAGTCCGTATATCAGTCGTAGTTAGTATGTAGGAGTTTGTATGGACCAAGTGATTAGCTGCCGGAATATTCCGCTTAGCTCTCTGTGCGTTTTGCCCCATTTCTGTGCTTAGTCGTGTTTTTGTCGTTAGGTTCGGTTCATAGTGCGCCACGTTCGCGGCCGATTCCGCAGGTCAGGGTCAAGGTTGCGGATGAGACGGGCGGGATCATCGGCTGCCGGTCACAGAGCCGATGGTACAACGCGACAGGGGGATCCTAATGGGCCTGCCATTCTCAGAGGTTGAGGGGTTCTAGCCGAGATAAGTGATCATGGCTGGGGATACTCAGAGCTAAAGCGTTTTAGCGAGACGAGGGGATATGCTGCCATCTCAGGGCGGGAGTTCGGTGAGAATGAAGTAGCAGGGTTAGGGTTTCCAGAGGTCAAATTACTCTTTGATTTACATGTAACGGACTCTCTGATTTGGCATAGTGCAGGAGTACCGTGTGACTCCCTGAAAATTCTTGCCATTACTAAACTAGTTTGTTCCATAGCACGGCACTCCTTCCTATTATTTCCACGCGAAATTACTGGTATTTTTTAAGCGGGTAAATGCTCCAGGAAATTTTGAGCAGACGTTGCAAACCGCATAATCTTCAAAATAAAGCACATGCGTATTCTTACTTAGTTTTGAACTTCAGATTGCAGACTCCGCTCATTTTTCCACCGTACTCCCATCTTTTTGGGCAGGGACTTCCTTTCGCTTCAAAAGTTACATTTCTACCCTGAAGATTAGGTGTATATTACTCCGGTCTCACGGGCGTGCATTGACTTTGCAGGGACCGCGTGAGAGCACGATTCTCTATTTCCTCAGGGCTGCTGGTGATGGAGAAATCGACTGAAGCGGAAGTCGCACCTTCATTCAAGATTCTGCGCCGACAGTCAGCATCCGGACCAATGATTGATCACAGCGTAAGGCTCACCTGAAATATTAAAATAATATTAAATTATTAATATTATATTAATTGATAAAAATATTTTCAAATTATTAATTTAAATTTATATTTATATTTGCATAATATAATTATTTTCAATTATTAAATTTTAAATGCAATTTATGAAAAATGGAATCGTGAAACGGATCAATTTTTGTCGTGAACACCTGTTGGTAACGGCGCGTCATCTTGGCTGGCTAGGGCTGACAACAATTGCTGACCGGCGTTAGAGCGTCTAGTGCGGCGCGCGAGCGGGCATGACATATAATCGTTGGCCCCCGGCCCTACGATAGCGGGCGCGTGCCGGAGAATGCCCGGCAGCAGGACGAGAAATCATGGAGCGTCGGGGAGAAGCGTTACATTCATCCACGATCTGCGCCGCCGTCACGTCGATGCGACTAGACGATAGCTGTAGGACGAAGCCATAGTTGCCATGAGCTGCTGGAGCGTGGCCTCGTTAACTTTTAAAAAATAATTAAAATAAATTTAAATTCGCTAATGTTCTCGGTCACTCTGTGCCTTGTGTTAGGCGAGCTTCGTAGGGGACACGAGAGCGATTCCCTTGTCTTCTCTCCTGCTTTGCAGGCAAACAAGAAGATGGCCGGCGCTGGCAGAACATACATTTGCGCGACGGGCCCGGTCGTTCGCGGGGATGGATACTGACCGACTACCACTCCGAACTCCTTCCTCGGTACGTACGTACGTGGTGCGCATGCGCGCTCACGCACCGCTCCCTCTAGCGCGTTATCTCTCGGCAATCCCGCCGCCGCTCGTGGCCCCAGTGTCCTTTGTGTCATTATCTCCACCACATCAAGGAGGATGATGCGGAAGAGGAAGGAGGAGGATGGATGGGCGGTGATGGAGGCAAAGAGCGCAAAGGGGGCAGTTCCCTTTACCATGTGTTACTGTAACTACTCGTAGTGACAGTGGAGCGGGCGGCCAGTTGCTACTCTTAGACAGTCTGCAATGTCTCTCGTTTGCAGCTTGATTCTACGGCAACGTCTATGCAAGGGATCGAATCCAGCAGAAAAGGCTCAACTGTGATAGAACAGCTTCAGGACGTGGGGTGAGCGAGGAAACCCTGCACTAATGCTATCTACTTTATTATATTTTTTATACCTACTCTTTTTTTGAGCATAAAACGAATGTTGCTGTCGCAAGCTTGCAATGGTTATTAGAATGAGGATAATTTGCCTTACTCGTTGATCATTGATGGTCTCTCTTTTAAAGAGGTTTCCCCACTCTATAGGCAGGTGATTATTCCTCACTACTATGTGTATTTTGCAGAGTACTGCCAGCTCCTGTGCTGTTCCAGATAGCGTTGCGATGCCACGTTAAACGAATTTCTCTAAAACTCGTAGAACTTTGTTGTTTCTTTACAGGTACAATGTAGGCAATGGTGCGGAGTGCGATGGAAATGACTGTGGGTGAGTGTGGGCAGTTTCCACGATCACGACTCACATTCGCATTCTCGAAAAAGAGTTAAATTCCTATAATTACATTTATTATTATCCTATTATTATTATCACTAAGGGAAATGGTTTTTGTTTTTACCATGGGTTTTTGTTCTGAGCTAGTTCACCGTAGCATGTATTTGTGCGAGTTGATGTTCACCGAAAGTGCAGTATGGTTCTGATGGTCACGTATACTGTATTAATTAATTTCTCCTACACTTCTTTGCTCTTCTAGGCCTAAAGACTGCCCACACGCACAAGACTACCCAACAAAAATAAAACAAATGCGCCCGCGTATCTCGCTGTCTCAGAAGCTTGAGGCGTCAGGACTCGCTAGCCCTTCACCTCCCTCCAAACAAAATATCAAATGCGTTCCCACTGTGATAAGGTAATACACCCTGCGGGAGCCTTTTGTAATCGGTCGTGTCGTTGTCTCGTTTGCTGTAGCGGTACTATCGCAGAATGCAAACAATACGGTGATACGAGTTTGACTTAATTCGATAATGACGATAATTACCTACTAAAGTTACTAATTAATTGGTTAATGTTATTTTGTTAATGAAACGCCTCGATTGTAAGATGATTCTCAGCACGATTTAATGGCGTTAAAGAATTGTGCGTTCGAGAAGTACGGAAGTCTGTGTTGGAGCTTAGATATTGCTTTTGTTTTTTCGTGTTTGACGTTGCTTGCGTGATGTGCTGTGCTGGTGGTGTCTGCTTCAGGAGGCCGGGCGCACTGCGTTCACGTCATTTCGGACATGTTCAAGTACATGGCCTTGTACAGCGCTACTCAGTTCGTCTCCCGTCATGATTCTCTATGGGTACGTCCACGCTACCCCCTACTGAGGACAAACCAATGTGCTTTTAACCAAGCATCGACCCAAGTTGCCTTTCCAGCAGCACGCCAACTGTGTTGCCTATCACCAAAGCACCCCCAAAGTTGACCGTAACAAGCGGCTCGCTCAAGTTGCAATGGCAGCATATATTATACGTGTTTACCCATGTATTGTCATATATATATGTGTTTCACGTATAAATGGTTGTTGCCAGTACGAGTCAACCTTGTTGTACTGCTCTAGCATGGCACGGCATTGAACCTTCCCGATCTAACGTTCTTGGTTACCTTTTGCAGCTCGGTTGCAGCCGTAAACGGATCTGGGGAATTTCTTGTCGATTTAGACTTTTCTGTTTGGACCGTTGGCTCGGGGTCTGTGTAAGTACGAGCAGAATAATCTTGTGGCTAGCGCTCGATCCGTGCATGTGCGAATCTACCCTGCTTCTGTTTGCTGCGCCCGCGTTCTCTTCACGGTAACTCGTACTCCGAGTCGGTCGTGAAGTTACGACAGCGACTCGTGCCGTTCAAAATGCTGTCGGTCCTGTGAGACCCAATGGCACTGGCGATAATCTACGGTAAATATAACCACACTGTGGCCTATGCATTCCATGCCTCAAGTGCTTTCAGACACCCCGCCACGCCCCACCACACCATGCCACACCCACACACAGCCACGTATACACACCACGCCACACCAACACCACGCTCCAGTATCCACAGGCGTCGAAAATACGTGCGAATATTGGTACTTAACGGGCTTCTGTCTGACCAATCGGCGTAATCGCGGGCTGTTTTTTGAACTGTAGTTGGAAGACGCGGCGGCGCCTAATTCCGATTCCTTCGTTAAGGAGCGACACGCGGTAGGCCTGTCAATGAGCGTACCGGCCAATCTGCTTGTCCGTCATTCTCTGCCATGATGACGATCAATCACCAATTCATACAGGTCGTTCTCTATGTGTTCATCACCACCCACGCCGTGGGTAGTGTCGCAAAAGGGCCTATTATTAATGTCTATTATTCATCCTCGCATACTCTCTCTCTCTTCTCTCATTTCCTCTTTCACCTTTCTCTCTTATTTCTCTCTCCTGGTTTCCACAGTCCCCTCCCTCCCTCTCTCCTCTCTCCTCGTCCTATGTGTTCGCTCACCGCCAGCCACAGCAGCGCCCCAGTGGTGATAGGTGCCGCGAGCCCTCTTATCTACGCTTTTTCTTCCTCGCCTCTCTCTCTCTCTCTCTCCTCTCTCTCTCTCTCTCTCTCTCTTCTCTCTCTCTCTACTTCTCGCTCTCTTCTCTCTCAACTCTTCTCATCTCTCTCTCTCTACTCTCTCTCTCTCTCTCTCTCTCTCTCTCTCTCTCTCTCTCTCTCTCTTCTCTCCCTCTCCCCCCTCTCCCCCCTCTCTCTCTCTCTCCCTCTCTCCCTCTCTTTCTCACTCTCGTCTCTCACTCTCTCTCTCTTTCTCTCACACTCTCTCTTGTCTCTCTATATCTCTCACTCTCATCTCTCTCTCTCTCCCTCTTTCTCCCTTCCTATCTCTCTCCTCTCCTCCTCTCCCTTCCTATGTCTCTCTCCCTCTCTCTCCCTCTCTCTCCCTCTCTCTCCCTCTCTCTCACCCTTCCTATCTCTCTCCCTCTCTCTCTCTCTCCCTTCCTATATCTTCCTATCTTCTCTCTCCTATTGCACTATCTCTCTCCTCTCTCTCGTCGGTCTCCCTTCCTATCTCTCTCCCTTCCTATTCTCTCTCCCTCTCTCTCCCTTCTCGCGTCTCCCCCTCTCTCTTCTCTGCTTCTCTCTCTCTCGCCTAACTCTCTCTCTCACCCTCTATCTCTGTGTCTCATGCATGTCTCTCTGCGCAGGTTTGTGCCGTTTGAGCGTAACGATGAGGAGGAGTACGACAGCTACGAGAACCACGTCGTATTCGTCGTCTCACAGTTCCAGTACATCACGCTCGCCTTCGTCTTCTCAAAGGGAGCGCCGTACCGAAACACTGTGCTCTCCAACCGTGAGTGTCGCATGCACTTCCCGCTACGCTTGCCGCACTTCACTTCGCCCCTCACGGGGGTGCAAGTAAATACGCACCCACGCGCACGTGCGCACTGCATGCAAGCACTGTATGAGTTCACGCGCACGTGCACGCACATACAAACAAAGTATACAAGTATATGTATATATACTTGCTCTACCATACTATATATATATATATATATATTACATAAACATTATATGCACGGACATAGGTGCGCTTCGCGTACATATTTACGACATACACACAAGTGTTCGACTTAACGCGGTGCAGACTTAACGGTAGCATTTCAAACGTTCCAACGAAACCGCACAAAAACGTGCGACACCTTCGATCGATCAATCGACCGACTCGTCCACGATCATTTCATCATTGTGTCAAGTGTTTCTCCATATATTGTTATATTGTTTCTCCGTCTCGCCGCGGCGCAGGTCTGCTGTGTGTGACGTTTGTCTTGCTGACGGCCGCCTGCGTCTACATCACCATATACCCGGCCGACTGGCTCGTGCGCATCATGGAGCTGAAGCCACCGCCGGACATCAAGTTCAGCGCTCTGCTCGTTCTCATCGCCGTCGTCAACTTCTTCATCTGCGTCATCTGCGAGGTGAGGGTCGCGGGGGTCAGCGGCAAGGTCGTGGAGTCAACGGCAGGGTCGCGGGGTCAACGGCAGGGTCGTGGGGGTCAGCGGCAAGGTCGTGGGGTCAGCGGCAGGGTCGTGGGGCTCAGTGGCGGGGTTGCGGGGTCAGCGGCAAGGTCGCAGAGTCTGCGAGGTGAGGGTCCCGGGGTTCAGCGGCAAGGTTGCAGGGTCAGCGGAAAGGTTGCAGGGTCAGCGGCAAGGTCGCGGGGCCAGCGACAAGGTCGCGGGGTCAGCAGCAAGGTCGCGGGGTCAGCGTGGTGTGGTCAGCAATGAGGTTCGCGGAGGGTCGCGGGGTAGAGTTACTCGCGCCTATGGCTGGCCATCGTACTCAGAAATAATTATTTTTACCGCGGTAGAAATAATTCAACCACGGTTAAAATTATGGCCCTTTTTACCCAATCAGAGGCATACAGTTCCACATCATTTAACTGCGGTAAAAATAATTTATCAGGTCAGCGGCGCACTCCCCGGGGTTGCAGCCTGGTGGCCCAGTCGTTGGGTGGTTAAATGGTTGTGCGTGCATGCGTGTGTGTGAGTGCGTGTATGTGTGCGTGTGCATGTGTGCGTGTGTGCGCGTGCGTGCGTGCGTGCGTGCGTGCGTGCGTGCGTGCGTGTGCGTGTGTGTGCGCGCGTGCGTGCGCGATCGTTGCCGCGCTACGTCTAATCCCCGTCGCTTCCCTCCTCGCCGCCGCCGCCGCAGATGTTCTTCGTCGACTACCTGTTCTTCCGGGTGCTAAGGTCGAAGGTCGCGTGGCTGCGACGCAAGAAGCGCGAGTACGACGTCATCGAGTCGGAGCTGCTCGCCGATCCATCATGGCCGCCGATCGACCGGTCGGCCAAGGCTGCTGTGAGTGAACGAGTGTAAAGGCCCGTTTTGCTTTTTCTCGAGTGACCATTATATACGCCGTAGTAGTATATATTATTATATATTTTTATATATAATAATAATCCATGCCTGCACAAAAAATATAGTATTGTATATTTTATTATATTATTTTTTCGTGGTGTTCTTGGACGTCATAGTAATGCTGTGCAGTTTACTCGTCGTGCCGCGTGTGAGTCTGGTAGACAGTTTGTGCATCTCGCTAATGCCTAGTAGCATGCATCTCACTATCACTAGTTCTACTGTAGTAGAGTTTGAAACAAAAACATGCATCTCTTGCAGGTGCAGGCGCGGAGCAATTGTCTGGCGGTGGAAACCACGAGCCTGCCGACGGAGACCGCGACAATGACAGACGCCTCGCCACAGCAGACGCTGACAGACGCCGCGCCACAGCAGACGCTGATAGACACCGGCGTTCAGCTCGCAGACGTCTCTCTGCTAGAGAGCGCCACAGATGACGACGACGCGCCCGCGGAGTCGCCGGACGACGGCGAGTCGGCGCGATTCGAATACAGCTCCCTCTAGCGTCGGCGGCGGCGGCAGACGTTTTTTTAATGTAAATATGCAAGCCGCGCCGGGCGACGCCTGGATGGATTCGCCCCCAGCCGCGACTCTGCTGTGTATATAGAGCGACTCCCTCCTCGTCCCCCTCCCCCCAACTCACAGCACGATCTCATCACTATAGGTTGCAGTGTCTGCAGTCCACACATTAGCGCACTGTAGCGGTGGCACACGCCCGATCCCTGTAGATGGAGCGGGTGTTTGCGTCCAAGCAGCTCGGTTAGCGAAGGGACGTGTCGATCGTTTGTTAGACGTACGTCGTACGTGTGTAGGTTCGATTTGTTTCCTGCTAAGGATCGTGGACTGTCGAACTACTAGGTAGGCTGGCCTACCACGGTCTCATCGCTTCTTGGCTGGCTATTCACCACTCGGGACAAACCCTGCGAAGATTGAGTGTGCTTGCCATAAACTTATCACTTGTTGAAGTTGGGTTAGGGTTAGACACTATGTTCTACACACCACCCATGGTAGAAAAATGCGAAGGTCCAGCGAAGAACATAGCTAGAATTCTATTTGTTCTTGAAACTGGGTAGCTATTCACCACTCAGGACAAACCCTGCAAAGATTGGCTGAGCTTGCCATAACCTCATCGCTTGTTGAAGTTGGGTTAGGTTTAGACACTATGTGCTACACACCACCCATGGTAGAAAAAGCAGAAAAACCAATTACCACTCAGGATAAACCGTGCGAAAGATAAGTGGTGGCTTCTGTAACCCGATTCTTTCTCGGCGACTTGAAATTGCTAGGAACTGTGAACGTTATACGATAATTGTCCAAGTGCTGTGAAAATGTGGAACGTGATGTTCAGTGTTCGTAAGTCGTCACGTGTCGGCATATTCTTCGTGATGGCCACTCTTCTAGAAAGTCCGGGTGTCTCCTATTGTTTTAAAATGTCAGGGCAAGGTCGCAGAGAATGTAGGCCCCGGTTCAGTGGCCGTGAGATGTTTCTCCGTTGTTGTTGTTAGCCTGTGCAATTAGAGGGAGTTCAATCGGGTGCGAATTCCCATCATTCATATTCAGGGTATAGGATCCTGGTGAACAAACAGCCAAACGCCGACAGTGAATGTTTAAGTGTCATGGACAACAGGTAAAATTGCGGTATGTAGTCGAATGCATGTTTCATATATTTGTTGCTATGTTGTTTATCATTCCGTTTTTACTCGGAATAATCATTGAAAATCGTGTAAGTCACAATCAGCGAAAAATCGGAAAATCATCGGAATATTTTCAGAACTGCCATCATGGGTTGAACACTGTGTAATAAAATTATAATGAATAATAATAAAATGAAATAGGATTTATATTATTTGTGTAATAAAATGTTTTTGTTAGGTTTTTCCAGAGAACGTTTGATAGTTTTATTCTTTAGGTACGTAGAAGGTACTGTAAATAGTCCAGGTTGGATGACGGGGGTAGTGTTGTGTGCATGTGAACATTACAAACTATTGAAAATTACACCAGATAGTTTAGTGATATAACAAAGATGCATGTGCAACGGGGGGGTGGGAAGGACAAGTTTTCAAATAATTATTTTGATACAAAATGTAAAAGTTTATTTTCATTTCAGGAACACTCGCACCCACGTTCTCAATAAAACTGAACACACTGAACATGGTTTTACCGACTATTAAATTAAAATATGATTGTAGACAGGAATAATTCCAACCAGACGACAAGACGGACCTCGCCATCGATATCATCTTGTTAAGCCCTGCTTTACACTATGCAGCAGCGCATCCGTGAAGGTCACAGCAAAGGTCGGCTCTCCTTCAGTCGTGTACAAACAATAGCGTTTGAACCTGGGGGCGGGGCGGGGGGATGGGCTTATGAGAACACACGTCGTCAGAGACTTCTCCCATGTACTCTTGTAATTACAAATCGAAAATATACACTACACTACACTTCCCCCTTCTTCTCCTCCTTCCCCTCCTCCTCCAACTGCTATCTTTGAGTTTTCGACTTTCCATTTTTGGGCAGCTCTCACGTACGCATGCGAAATTACATACTTTGAGGGGGGAGGCGAGGGAACCTGCCATATAACTATCATATAACTATCACAGAGCTGCTGCTGCTGCTGCTGCTTTCATATAGAAATGAAGACTAAAAGCTAAGCGAAGCCGAGACCGAGTGAGTCGCGATCAATTACATCACGAACGCGGCTGGTATTTCTACACTGTCTGGAGAATTTATGCTTACGCAGTAATGGATGTGAGATGTCTGTCTCTGTCTCTCTCTCTCTCTCTCTCTCTCTGATGAGCGCGCATTAAACACTAAAAAAAACTATTTATTTACAATGATTCAATATGACGAAGTACTGGTCACACTGGCAGTGTATAAGTTGTACATGGATACATGGTCATGCTGGCAGTGTAGAATATATATATATGTGGATACACAGCACGCACGTGGTCACATTGGCAGTGTACGCGTAACATAGCAACATGATTATTCTGGCCGTACGTAGCACGAAAAAACGAAACATATTGGCTGTGTACATGTCACAAGGAAACACGCTCACACTGGCAGTGTATAGGTAGAATGGTGAGGCATGTTCACAGTGGCAGTTCGATACAATATAACCTGGGCCTACATACAGGTAACATAACCCTACATCCAGATATGACCTATCCCTGCATCCGGGGTAAGGCTATTGTATCACCGCTAGTGTGTACGTAGTATAGAGACATGATCATTCTAGAAGTGTATACGTTACAACTTAAAACAGAGGCATCCAAAATATGCACGCATAGGACACACCAAATTACCCTGCCACAGGTCACAAAGTCCACACCTGTCACAAGTGATAAATCCATACCTGTCGCAGGTGATAAGTCGATAATGCCATACCCGTCACAGGTGATAAAGTCCATACCTGTCGCAGGTCATAAAAGGTTCATACCTGTCACAGCTTCTCAAATGCAAGCTGCACTGCACATGCGGTTGAGCACCTACCTCACCTACACCCAACAGGCGAGGGACAACAGTGCTTGTGTTGTCTTCCTAGGCACCGTAGCTCCGTGAGTGCACGGCCATATCATAATATACACTCACAACCACCACCTTCACACCCTCGCAGACTGTGCTGCATCTAATTAGTCCCTTAATATAGTCCCTCTATATTAAGAGACTCTACGTCTAATCTGCATGCCTTGCCATCTGGTGTGAAATAAGCATGGCGGAGACTAGTGCAGTAGGCTCGCTGTGCAAGTTGTTCACATGTGATTTGCGCATCGCCGTAACACGGACGACGAGCGAGTTGTCAGGCGGTGATCAGCTTAGGTCATAACTCAGGTCTTTGTCATTTCTTCCAACGGAACACTAGCAGCAACTCAGTAAACAGAAGAACCAAACTGCACCTCGTTTCTTCATGATTTCTTAGTATCTAGCAAACCATCCCTGCAACAGCTTTTATAGGTGCACAAAGGTGGGTAGCCCAAAACGACACCAATTGCCACAAGCTGCAAGAATTTTATACTCGTACACGTGCGGACGAAAAAAAGCGCAGTCTTGAAGGCTTCAATGAGTGAGAAATGGTTATAGCAAACAAGAAATAGATATAAGCATTAAGGATGGCCTCAGACGAAACACTTAGACACTACAACGTTCCAGAAATCAAGTGCGATGCTCCATGCACAATTTTTATTTGTGTTTACGCCTAAATACGTCGGTCGTACCGACATCAGTAGATGAACTTGGATAATTATCCGTAATATATATATTATATAGCAACACAATTGATCGATTCGGTCTATTTGGAAAATGTTCAATGGCAACTCTAGCACTTACATTAAACTGTGCAGTCTACAACTGACAACTGACGTGGCGACGATAATGCACCTTGCACTCTATGCACACATTATTATTATGAAAAATAACACTCTGTTGATAAATGAATACCTTTTTTGTTACTATACACATTTTTAGTGTTGACGTTATTATTAAACAAACACACGGACACCTGCGTGCACACTTGGTCATTTGTACGTACACACACACAGACATTCACCACTTGCAGTGCATTTTACTAACGTATATGCACACACACACACACCCATCGCACACACTCACACACACTCGTGCATGCACGCACACAAACACACAAGCATGTCTGAAAACACCTCGTAGAAATAACGTGCAGTGGTGATACAAAGAATAGGGCTGATTACATGGGACCACGTTTCACTATACATCACAAACTCAGAATAGTATTAACACATTAGGTGGTAGTGACCATTACTAACAGTCACCTAACGTCCACTAATTATAAATGGCAGTTTTCGATTCTCTAATCTGGTATTAATACAAATATTGATACAAAACTCCCTGGTAAGACAACGTCAGACTGTAGAGCCCCCGCTCTCTCTCTCTTTCTCTCTCTCTCACACACTGTTGCTCTCTCTCTCTCTCTCTCACTTGTTTCCACACAGCCATGTAGAAGTAATGCTGCCCTCTTCACACACACACACGCACGCAGGCACGCACGCACACATGCACCCACGTACGCACGCACATATTCCACGCCACCCTCTCGGCTCTCTGAACCGACCCTTTCTCTGCTCACACAAACTGAAGCCATCACCCCTCCCACCTTGTCACACTCACCTGATAACGAGCAGCTGCGTGACCTCGCTGCACTCACCTGATAACGAGCAGCTGGGTGACTCGCCGCACCTCACCTGAATAACAGCAGCTGGGTGACCTCGCTGCACTCACCGAAACGAGCAGCTGCGTGACCACCTCGCTGCAGCCGGTCACGCGAGCTGAAACCGACGCAGCTGGTGCCAGCCGTGCTCGGCTGGCACTCACCTGATAAACTGAGCACCTGGTGACCTCGCTGCAGCTCACCTGATAACAGCAGCTGGGTGACCTCGCAGCACTGCACCCTGATAACGAGGCAGCTGCGTGACCTTCCGCTGCACTCACCTCAGTAACGAGGCAGCTGTGTGACCACCTCGCTGCAACTTCACTGATAACGAGCACGCTGTGTGACTCGCTGCGGGCGCACGGGGCCGTTCCTGCGGTAGCAGTAGCCGGTCTGTGTGTCGACGAGCGTCTGAGGGTTGCCCGTGTACCAGAGCCGTCACGTAGCAGTTCGTTGCATCGCCCCGCCACCCGGTTCTCGATGCGTGCTCCCTTCGCATGCGGCTGCACGACAAACCAGAGCGAGAGAGAGAGAAGGACAGTTATGAGTAGCCGCACACACACACACACACACACACGCACAGGCATACACATGCACACGCACGCCCACGTGCACACGCACACGCACGCACACGCCGATCGCACACGACACACACACCACCTCCGCGACGCTGCACCACATG